CCATTTTTTTTTTTTTTTTTTTTTTTGGTACCAGGGATCTTACTCAGGTCATTGTGCTTGAGAAGCAGGAGGTGGCAGAACCACTGAACTAAATCCCCAGCTTTATTTTTTATTTTGAGACAGGGCCTTGCTAAATTGTTCAGATGAAATTCAAATTTGAGATCTTCTTGTCTCTGTCCCAGAGTACTGGGATTATAGGTGTGTGCCACCATGCCTTGCTTCTTTCTATTTCTTATTTTGAGACAATATTTAAAACCCTGAGTTACATCCTAGAATGCTGGGATAGCAGGCACGGGCCATTATACCCAGCTCCTCTCTGTTTTTGGTACTGGGGATCAAAGTTGGGTCTTTGCGCTTGTGAGGAAGGCGGTGGAACCACTGAGCTAAATCCCCAGCCCTCCCACCCAGCTGCTCTTTTGAATCTCTGATGCTCGCTTCAGTCTTCAGCCATCTCCTTGACTGCCTCTAGCCTAGTCCAAGACCTCATATGTCAGGAGAAAGGGCTTCATTAAGAAGCTCTCGGGGCCAGGAATTTAGCTCAGTGGTACCGTTCCTGCCTTGTAAATGCAAGGTCTTGAGTTTGATTCCCCGTACTGGGGCGGGGGGGGGCAGGTATGGTGATGTACTCCTGTAAACTCAGCACTCGGGAGCCTGAGGCAGGAGGATCGCTGTGAGTTCGAGACCAGCCTGAGGTACACAGTGAGTTCCAGGTCAGTCTCAACTACATAGTGAGACCTATCTCAAAAAAACAAAAACAAAAAAGCTCGGGGCAGAGGGTGCTGGGAATTTAGCTCAGAGGCACTGCACCCATCTTGCAACCACAAGGTCCTGAGTTTGATCCCCAGTAATGGGGGGGTGGCTCTTAGGGGGCTGGGGGTGAATGTGGCTTAGGGGTAGTGTGCTTACCTCGCATGTTTGAGGCTCCAGGTTCCATGTCCAGGGCTGCAAACAAACAAATGCAGGTGGGAAACTGAGGCCCACAGAAAGGAAGTGACTCGCCCAGCCAGTCTGTGATGGGCACCAGCCCCTCTGTGCTGGTCCTCTCTCCACTCCACCGAGTCTCTTCTCGACTCAGGATACATCTGTCTTCCCATACTTTGGTCTATGCTCATCTCCCTCTGTCCCTATCTTGTTCTGCTCTGTTCCCCATTGCTTGGTTTTTTGTCTCTTTCTTTCCTCATTAGCAGGCACCTCCCTCCCCTGTGCAGGGCCCTCCCACGGCCGGGTCCCCAGCTGAAGCCCAGCCCAAGCCCACCTTGCTGGCCGGCCCCTCGTCCCACACCTTCCTGCCTCCACTCCCACCATCCACCCCTGCATTCATTGTTCCTCTTCTCCCTCCAGTGGGAGCCTTCATGTCCCCAGCTGTTACTTTCCCCTCCTCCTCTCTTCCTTCTTCTTTTACAGTGCTGGGGGTGAATCAGGGCCTTTGCTCTGAGCTACAGCCTCAGCCCATATTTATTTTATATTTGGAGAAAGGGTCTTGCTAAATTGCTAATTGCCTAGGTACAACTCAAATTTGTGATCCTCCTGCTTCAGCTTCCTGAGTACTGAGATTACAGGCGGGTGTCACCATGCCCAAGCCTCCGTCAGCTTCTTAAAGTAGCCTTACTGACCACTTGATGTAAAATGTCATAACCCTTCCCACACATATTTCCTGTTGTCTTTTTTTGCTGTTTTTCTCACTACTTATTAGCATCTTGCTTTCTTTGCTTTCTTTTTTTTTTTGTGGTGCTGGGGATGGAACCCAAGGCCTGGCACATGCTAGGCGAGTGCTCTACCACAGAGCTGCACCCCAGTCCTACACATTGAGTGTTCACTCGCTTACCTTGCTTACTGTCTCCCAATGGACTGTCTCTCCAGGAGGGCAGGACTGTGTCCCTTGTCCACAACTGTGTCCCCAGTGCCTGCCACACAGTGGACAATGCAGTAGTCTGCTCAGTGCCTATCTCCCTCTGGCTTGTTGCCCTGCACAGCCACCTCTCTTGGTCACTAACATCCCTCATCTCCCACCACCTTGTCCTGTGGGGTCCCCTCCCCTCTGGGCCTCTCTCAGCTGGTATGGGTGGGTCGGCCCAACTTCCTGGCCACCGCCCAACCTTGCCCTGGCCTGGCTGGGCTGACCTTTGCAGTGACCGGCTCCCTGTCCGAGCTGCAGATTAGCTACGTCTGCCGGGAAGTGCTCCAGGTGAGGAGAGGCCTGGGGGCCTTGAAGGGGTGGCAGGGCCCTTCCCCCTCCTTCAGGCCTCAGGGCATCCTTGCCATGCTTCTCCCCAGGGACTGGCCTACCTGCACTCCCAGAAGAGGATTCACCGGGACATCAAGGTACGCTGGGACTGTGGGTGACAACAGGAGGGGAGAATGGCATTTGGGGGAGCTCAGGGTTGTTTGAGCTCTAAGGTGGGGCAGAAGGACTGGTCAGGGGGTCTCTGACAGCCCCGTCCCTCCTCTCGTCCCCAGGGAGCCAACATCCTTATCAATGACTCTGGGGAGGTCAAGCTGGGTGAGTGCGGCTGGTGGGAGAGGAGGGGCAGGGCAGCGGCTGGGTGGTGGAGATGCTACATTACTCCCTCTGTCTCCAGCTGACTTCGGTATCTCGGCTCAGATTGGGGCGACGCTGGCTCGACGCCTCTCCTTCATTGGGACCCCCTACTGGTGAGGGGTACTGGCTAGGGATGGGCTGGGGGGCAGCAGCTTTTTCAACCCTGGCTCCTTGGGAATCTTGTCCCTGTCTCTGTCCAGTTGGTTCACCTTGACTATCTGGTCTCTCTGAGCCCCTTTCTGCCTGTTTGTCTCAGTGTTTGTGTGGGTTTTTATCTTGATCTGTCCCTCCCTATCTGTCTTCTCAGCCTGTGGCCCTCTCCTGCCTCTTTGTTTCTGTTTCTCTCTCTCTCTCTCTCTCTCTCTCTCTCTCTGATAGATCTTATGTTTTTTTTCTAGTAGTGGGGACTGAACTTGGGGTTTTCACACTGAGCTACATCCCAAGCCTTTTTTACTTTATTTTAATTTTTATTATTTTTTATTTCTTGAGACAGGGTCTTCTTGTTAAGTCACTAAGTTGGCCCAGCTGGGTTTGAACTTTTGATCCTGCTGCCTCAGGCTGGCAGAGCAGTGGGATTACAGGCGTGTGCTACCATGCTTGGCACTGCGTCCATCTTTATTCCTGTGTCCTCTGACCCCGTCTCCTCTTGCCACATTTCCCCATCTTCCTCCTCTCTGTCCTCCTTCTCCCTGTGTCACCTCTAGTTCTCTAAGGGTCTCTGTCCCCAGGATGGCTCCAGAAGTGGCTGCAGTGGCCCTAAAGGGGGGATATAATGAGCTGTGCGACATCTGGTCCCTGGGCATCACCGCCATCGAGCTAGCCGAGTTACAGCCGCCACTCTTTGATGTGCACCCTCTCAGGTAGGCAAGTGTGGCAGGTCCCTTGTGCCCAGGGACCCTACCTAGCCCTGGCCTTGAAGATACCACACAGTTTCCCTACAAGCAACCTCCCTGTGCTCCTGGCTCTAGAGCAGTTAAGTGGTTTCCCTTAGAAAGGTCCTCCTGGCACTTTGTGAGACCCAAGCCCGTTCCTATTCATCCCTCACTGCTGTCTGCTGACTCCAGTGCTGCGGCGAACCCCCATGGGGCGTCTGGACTCCATGTCGTTCCTCTTCTGTTCTAGAGTTCTTTTCCTCATGACTAAGAGTGGCTACCAGCCTCCCCGGCTGAAGGAAAAGAGCAAATGGTAAGGGGGTGACAGGGCAGAGAGAGTCTGATCGTCCAGAAGATCTCTGTTCCCTTCAACCCAGAAAGTGCCTCTTCCTCCCTAGGTCAGCTGCCTTCCACAACTTTGTCAAAGTCACCCTCACTAAGAGCCCCAAGAAACGACCTGGTGCCACCAAGATGCTCAGTGTAAACCTCCCCTCCCTGAGGAGTCCCCCAGTTCTCAACCCACGATCCAACTTCTGGGGCCCTCTGTGATTCCCTACAACACTGATACTTTAGTTCCATAGGACCCCTGTGCCCCCTTTAAAGTGCGTGTCTCTTAGATTTCCCAGGATGCCCCCCAAACCTCCACATTGTACCCCTTTCTGAGATCCCTGAGTTTTTAGAACTTGTAAACCTCAGGGCCTCAAGACCCATTCTGGAGAATCCTCTAGAATTCCCAGGAAGCCCCTAGTCCCTTCTGGGACACCTCTGGAATTCTCCTAGCCCCCTTCAGAGAATCCTAAATTCTTCCAACCCCTTAGAACTTCTCAGAATTTCCCAGGTTCCTGAGTCCTCTAGGCTCTCTGCGTCCCCCTCAGCGGGACCTTTCCCCACTGCACTCCCTGGGATGGCTTCTCAAGCCCCCGTCCCCACCCTGCTCCCCAGCCTTCTGTCTTCTGACGCCCCCTCCATCCTTCAGCATCAGCTGGTGTCCCAGCCTGGGCTGAACAGAGGCCTGATCCTGGATCTTCTTGACAAACTGAGGAACCCTGGGAAGGGGCCCCCTGTTGGTGAGAGTGAAGATGACGAGCCTGAGGTGAGGGCCTTGGCTGACCGGAGCACAGGAACCTCCAGGGTTTTGCTCAAGCTGTCTCCCCACCCAGCCCACCACGAACGCTTTCCCAAAGCTGCTCTAAGACACAAGCAGGGGGAGGCAGGGGAGCTCCAGAGGGCTCTGGGAGAGGGGAGGTTTAAGGCTGGGCCCACTGGGTGGAGCGGGGCTGCCTGGAGGCCATGAGCCCTGATGCTGCTGCCCCTCTGCCCAGCCACCCCCTGCCATCCCTCGGCGGATCAGATCCACCCACCGGGCCAGCTCTCTGGGGACTCCAGATGCAGACTGCTGTCGTGAGTGGAGACTCCTACAGTTTGGGGACACCTAACCCTATGAGAGATCCTCTTTCTTTCATCGACCACCAGATCCCTAAGATCTTGACTCCAAAGTGCCCAACTCTGTTTCCTTTTTCCAATCCATGTCACTGCCCTTGGGTCACGGGGTTGTCACCCTCCCACCGCAGGGCGGCACATGGAGTTCCAGAGGCTCCAAGGAGTAGAGCCCAGACCCCCGGCTGACGTGGTGAGACAGACACCTCCCCGCTCCCGAGAAGCCCTGCCCTTCCCTGGGCCACCACTGACCCCTTCCCTGTCCCGCAGGCACGTTTCCAGCCCCCTGGAGATCTCAGGAGCAGCAGTCCCAGGTCAGGGACCCTAGGGGTGCGGGTGACGGCCCTGGGATGTGTGTGGGGGCCCCTGAGGCTCATGCCTGTCACTCTTCAGGAGCCACCTGTCAGAGTCGGATGACGACTACGATGACGTGGACATGTAAGAAGCCCAGCCCTTGCCCTGCAGGCTCTCAGCCTAGCCCCCACTTCTGACAGCCCCCCGACTTGTCTTCACCTCGTCCCCACCCCTCCCTCGCCGTCCTTCCATCTCTGATCCTCGAGGCCCCACCCCACTCCCAATGTACTCCTCACCTTTCTTCCTCCCCAGCCCCTGGTCCCTAACCCCACCCGCCCTGTACCCTTCACCTCTAGCACCTGACACCCTACCTAATTCCTACTCCAGCCTCCACCTTTTTATACAATCTCTGATCCGACGCCCAACTTCAGCCCCCAGCTGCCCTCAAGCCCGACCTGACTCCGGTTCCCTCCAGAATGCCCTCCTGCTCCAACTGCAGATCTTTCCCTGCCTGTCTGCCTCTGCGCTGGTTCTTCAGTCACATTCCAGATGCTGCTCCCACCTTCAGACCCACCTCCAAACCCCAACTTCAGCCTCTCTCCAGGCCAGCATCTTTTGTCACCTTCTTGCTCAACCCCAGAATGCACCTTGCTTCCTGGAAATGGTCCAAAGGCCAGACCTCCACTCCAACAGCCAGCCTGGGCCACCATCTTTTCCCTGTCCCTGCCCAGGGACAGCCTTGAGGGCCCTCCTCATTCATTCCCCGCACGTGGAAAGGGTGAAAAGTGAGAACAGCATCCTGGCATCCCGGAGATTAATTACCCCACTGCCTGGGTGTGTGAAGACAGTGGCCCAGAGTTACTGTTACTGTTGTCACCATGGCCACTTGTCCTGTAACCCCAGCTCCAGCCAGACCAAGTCACCCCTTCCTCCCCGGCATCCCAGTCCCAGGCCTCAGACCCTGGTGACCCCTTCTTCCCCTGTCCTTGTTCCCCACACCTCCACCTGCATACCCCACCTTTGTGTTTCAGCCCTGCCCCTGCAGAGGACACACCTCCCCCACTGCCCCCCAAGGTAAGGCCCCCCAAGGCCAGGACCGGGTGCTGTCCAGGTTTGGGAGTCTGGCGGTCCCGGATGATGGTTACACTGGGACCCGGATGTGACAGCCCTCAGCCCAGGGTAGAATTCCTGGGAGTCCTTCGCTGTGTCCAGTATTAACCCTCTGGTTTCTGAGTGTGCTGATATTGGGGGTGGGGTACTGGGAAAGGCTGAAGGGGAGGAAGGACACTGTGGGGTGGGTCTGAGCCAGGGCTAACTTGTGCTTCTGCTGGAGGCAGGGACTGGGGTGCAAAGGGTGCCTTCTCTCTAGATCACCTGATGCATCCCCACGCTCCTTCCCTGTCTTTAAAGCCCAAGTTCCGGTCTCCCTCAGATGACGGTGCTGGGGGGCTGGGGGACGAAGGGCAGCTGAGCCCCGGGGTGTTGGTCCGGTGTGCCAGCGGGCCTCCCCCACGGACCCCTTGTCCCGGGCCTCCTCCAGTCACCCGCAGCCCCCATCTCACCGCGCACTCAGGTAGCAGGATGGGCTGGGGTGGAGGGTGGGCCAGGGTTAGGGGTCTTGGGGCTGATCTTCCCCCAACCCCTCCAGAGCCCTCCCTCTGGAACCCAGCTTCCCGGGAGCCTGACCAGCCCCCACTGCTGCCCCCTAAGAAAGAAAAGATGAAGCGGAAGGTGAGGGCCAGCTGTGTGCCTTGGGGTGGGGCTGACCATGCCCAGGGGCTGGGGCAGGGGTTGGGATGTCTGGCTTTGCATGGTGTAAATCCTTACCTGATAGAAACACCATGCACCTTTCACAGATGGGGAATCTGAGGCACAGAGAGGCTACATAGTTTGTCCAAGGTTGTATATGTTTAGTCCTCCCACTGGGGGTACATTTCGAGATCCCTAGTGCATACCTGAAAGTATCCATGGTCAGTATCCAGCCACACATACACGTGTATATTTGTGTATATATATGTATATTTTTCCCTATACATACTTATCTATGATGAAGTTAAATTGGTTTGTCACAATAAGAGATTAACCATAATAACTCATGATCAAATAGGATAATTAGAATGGTGTACTATAATAACAGTTATTTGAAACTTATGATCTTTTCCTGGAATTTTCCATGTAACATTTTTGGATCACCGTTGACTGTGCATAACTAAATCCACAGAAAGTAGAACTAGGGACAAAGAGGGTGAATGTATAACTTGGAGAGGCAGAGGCAGGACTTGAACCTGGGAACTCTTGCTCCAGTTTTAACTTCTACACCTTCCTGTGCCCTGCCCTCTTCCTCTGGATCTGCTGCCTGCCTCACGTGGCCCCACCCAGGGATGCACCCTTCTCGTGAAGCTGTTCAATGGCTGTCCCCTCCGGATCCACAGCACAGCTGCCTGGACACACCCCTCTACCAAGGGTGGGCCCGGGGGCCGGGAGGGCACAAGGGGCTCAATGAGGTCAGGAGTGACCCAGAATCTGGGGCAGATTTGGGGATCCAGGAGGAAAAAAGGAAGATGAGTTAGGGAGTAGAAACTAGGGAAGTTAGAGTATGGGGAGAGGGATGTCTAATTATAACAGAGTGGCTAGATTTTGGGGGACAGGATAGAGATGAATGGGTAATAGCTGCAGGTTAATGGTGGAGAGACTGGGATCAGCATGTTGGGGTCAGAAGTTTTAGGTATCAGGCCAGGCCTGCTGGTGCACACCTGTAATCCTAGCACTCAGTAGGCTGAGGCAGGAGGATTACTGTGAGTTCCAGGCCAGCCTGGGCTGCATAGAGAGTTCAAAGCCAGCATGAACTACACAGTGAGACCCTGTCTGAAAAAAAAAATCTTTAGGGACCAGCATGCAGCAGAAAAAGATAGTCTAGGGACCATATATAGACAAAGGTGAAGGAAACGTTAGTGCCAAAGGACTAGCATCAGAGTTCAGAGGCCACACTGTACAGAAAAAGTTACACTTGGGGGTGTTTGAATTTGAGGGTCATTGTGAAGACAGGATTAACAGTTGGTCAGAACTGGGCAGTAAGAAGGAGAGAAATTAAAGGGCTACTTTTGGTGGTAGGCCCAAAAGTGGGGTGACTTCTGGGGAGAAAAAAGGGCCAGGTTTTGTGGGGTGGTAACAGAAGAACCACCAGAATCTGCAAGTCACTGATAGGGGACACTAAGACTGGCCTATGGGACTGGGCAGCATTTGTGGTCACGTTTGGGGAAACAGAGACTGAGAATATTACTTTGGGAAGAGGGTTAGTAAATAAAGGGTCGAAACTGAGGGCCTGAGAGCTGGGCGTGATGGCTGAACTACAAAGGGAGACCCTGTCTCAAAAACACATGGGCCGGGGATTTAGCTCAGTGGTTCTGCCGCCTGCCTCGTAAGCACAAGATCCTGAGTTTGATCCCTGATACCAAAAAAATAAGAATAGAAAAGCCAGGCATGGTGGCGCACTCCTGTAATCCCAGCACTTGGGAGGCTGAGGCAGGAGGATCACTGTGAGTTTGAGACCGCCTGGACTACACACTGAGTTCCAGGGCAGTCTGAATTACAGTGAGGGCCTGAGTGAGGATCACTGGATTCAGCCAAGTGAGGATTAGGGGGAGCCCAGGATAAAGTGGTCCTAGTGTCCTCTTGTCTGTCCTCTGCCAGACCAGCACCTGCTCCTCGGGGCAGAGGAGGGCATTTTCATCCTGAACCGGAATGATCAGGAGACCACACTGGAGATGGTGAGACACTGCCTGGGCTGGGGCAGGGACGGGGTGGAGCTAGGGGTTTACAAGGGGTCACGTGACCCACTGCTTCTGTTCTCTGCAGCTCTTTCCTAGTCGGACAACCTGGGTGTACTCCATCAACAACGTCCTCATGTCTCTGTCAGGTCTGGCCCAAGTTGGTGAAGGCATGGGGGTTTGGGCCGTAAGAAAAGCTTCAAAACAACAGGCTTCCCCTTCACAAGTTGTAGGTTCAAATTCCAGCCTCCTTTACATTGTGGGATGTAAAGGCAAGGGACTTCAGCTCTCTGAGCCTCTGTTTTCCTGTCTGTAAATGGGCTCATAGTAGTCCTCACTGCTCAAATCAGTCGAGGTGATTTCTATGATAAATTAGTCTTTAAATAGCTTTGATGTTCCTATGACCATCAGAACTTATTCCTACTTTGTTAAGATAGGTAAGCAATTACAGATTTAAAAATTTAGGGCTGGAAAAACTCACTGGCAAAGCATTTGCTTAGCATGCATGAGGTCCTGGTTGCATGAAAAAGTTTTGTATGCCTGTCTCACAAGCACAAGGACCCAAGTTCGATCCCTGGTACAAAAAAAAAAATGTTTTGTGTAAAAGAATTTCTAATTTTGAGGGACACACCAAGGCAAAGAAGAACTTTTGTGTTTTTCTTTCTTTTCTTTCTTTTTTCTTTTTTTCAGTTATCAGGATTGAAACCAGAGTCTTTGCACTGAGCTGCTGCATCCCTATTCTTTTTTTGAAAAAAAATTCTTTTGAGATGGATCTTGCTAGGTCACTAAGTTACTCTGGCCAGGCTCCAATTTTTGATCCTTCTGCTTCAGCCACCCAGAGTGCTAGGATTACATGTGTGTGCCACCATGCCAAGTTTTTTTCCCCTCAAGGTCTCACTATGACTCCAGGCTGCCCCTCAATTTGCTATGTAGCATAGGCTGGCCTCGAACTCAGTCATCTTGCCTCAGCCTCTTGAGTTTTGGGATCACAGGTGTGTGCCACCATGGTCGATCCCAAATAGGATTTATGAGCCACTTAAATCTATGGTGACAAACTTAAGGAGAAATTTGAGATATGTTTTTTCTTAAACTTTAATATGTGTAACTCCATCTGACTGGTTAAGTGTCCCTAATTCCTTGTGTGGCTACCAGCACTACAAGGTTAGGGAATATATTTATTTTGCTAACTGTTGTTTACCAGGGCAGAGAACAACGCCTGGCCTACCCTGGGCCTTAAGATGTTTGACAGCCATGACTGAACAGAGTGCTTGACATTTGCAGTCTTGGGAGTTTCAGAGATGGGATAAAGAGGTGGTATCCAGGGTCCTGTAACCGCTACCCACTTCCCCCCACATGTGCACACACTGCAGGAAAGACCCCCCACCTGTATTCTCATAGCATCCTCGGCCTACTGGAACGGAAGGAGACCAGAATGGGAAGCCCCATGGCTCACATTAGCCCCCACCGGCTACTGGCAAGGTACCGGCCTCAGTGGCAGCACAGGCTCCTCGGACCACCCCTCCCTCTACAGCCGTTCCATCGCCCACTCACACCTACCTCTTCCTCAGGAAGAACATGGTCTCCACCAAGATCCAGGACACCAAGGGCTGCCGGGCGTGCTGCGTGGGTGAGAGCGAAGCCGGCGGGTGTGAGGCCGAGGCAGGATAGGGCGGGGCCGGGGCTTGGGCAGCGTCCACTGGAGAGGGTCGTGGAGTTAAGGCTGGTGTGCAGAGCCCAGGGAAGGAAGCGTGGCACTCCAGGCCTCTCGGAGAAGAAGCGGAAGAGAGGGGATTGACTGATCCATCTTTGCCCGCACCCGCAGCGGAGAGTGCGAGCTCCGGGGGCCCTTTCCTATGCGGGGCATTGGAGACGTCAGTGGTTCTCCTCCAGTGGTACCAGCCCATGAACAAGTTCCTGCTTGTCCGGGTAAGGGTTTTAGGGCAGGGTGTCCTGGGGACTCTGGGGCACGCAGTGGCTTGGGCCTTCCACACTTTGCTCTGGCCTGGAGAGCACCACGAAGCCCCACCTCCCCCGAGGCCTTGCCCCGGAGGCCCCGCCCCCGCTGGCCCCGCCCCCCGCGGTCTGCGTGGGAGTTTCTCTCCGGAGTTCCTCATCCTTGGGCGCCTCCCTTCACACCCAGGCCTGATTATTTCTCGTGCCTTATACCCCGTCCCCCCTCTCTGTGGAGACTGCAGGTTCTGTCCCTTTGAGTCAGATTTTGCTGCCTCCGAAGCCCTGTAGCTTGTGGCCCCTGCCTTTCTCTCGCCAGGGTGGCTCTCCCCAGACCGAGCCACACCCCCCGAGGCCGCACCCCTTATTTGCCAAGGTGGCTCGACCTCCGAGGCCTCTGACTCCCCTGAGACGAGTAGAAGTCACCTTCTAAAACCAAGGGCCAGAAAGCGCTACTTGGGAAGTCCCAGGCCCGCTCAGGCCCCGGGCCGCCCCTCTGAGCCCGCCCCTCCCCGTGGGCCCACAGCAG